CCTATTGGGGGATGCTCATACCACCTCCGACAGTACCACCCCCTCCAATCCCCCCCACCTTGCCTCCTTCCCTCTTCCCATTCCTCCACCCCCTTACCCCACCTCAACCCACCTACCCAAGGACCAAAAAATCAATATCAAGCGTGTTGCAGCCGTTGCAATTCCCTGCAATATGTTGTTGATTTGAACTGAAGCTGACGTCATGCTTTATGTGTGGTGTGGGTGCAGGGGCGTAGTGAGGAGGTAGTGACCAGTCTCTGTGCAACAGACGTCTGTAGCGTTTGTACATTGGGCGAAAGCAAACTGGCATTCACACTTGCATTTTTATTGTCTGTTAATTGCCTTCCAAGCACTGTGCTCTGTTTGGCCGACCGACGTATGTGAACACAGGACGGCCGAGATGCTACAGGTTGTGAGAAGGGACAGGACCACCACAGGATTGCGATTGCGATGAATTGGATAACGCACAGACAATGCTGCCACAAACACGGTCGATGAATGCTGCCATGGATCTACGGGAGCCGTTGGTGTTTGTCAGTGAGTGAGGTCTATGCACTCCAGCCGATCTAAGACACATTGACAGCAAAATTATTCTTCTTTCCTTTCCTCTCCTCTCCTCTCCTCTCCTCTCCTCTCCTCCCGTCTCCTCTTGTACATTATTATGCTATTCTCTCCTGGCGTATCGTCTACTCTTCTCTCCTCCCAGATCTTGTTTGTCTGCTGTTGGTTTCCTTCACGGACTGCTTTTGGATCTAACTGTTCGAGCAGCATTGCTGGTCGGTTGTCGTCAACCAAAGCGGATTGCCAGAGGAGAGAAAAGGTAGGGGAAGAAGAGAGACATTGCGCTGACAAAGGAGAGTAGAGAGGATACAGGCATTTGGCATTGCACTGGCAAAGGAGAAAAGGTAGGGGAAGAAGAGAGAGAACAGAGAAAGAAGAGAGCAGGATAGAGGAGGAGGGGGGGGGGAGGGGGAGGGGGAAAGGCATTTGCTCTTGCTCTAGTGAAGTAGCATCAGAGAGAGAACTTACCCTGCGCATCATTTCGTTAAAATGGCGGTGGCTACGTTGACCCATGCCAAGATGGAAATGGGGAGCACCTCCTCCTCCTCTCCATTCCCCTGTTCCTCTTCTTCTTGCTGCTGGCCTGGCCAGCAATTGCCTCCGCCCGCTTCTGGTCAGCAGACTAGAAGGATAACTGCGCTGAAAAGTATGAAGAGTGTGATCGGGACGTCTGTCTCAGTGAGGCTCTCACAGCGGACTCCCGGCGGTTTTCCCGGAGCTTGTGCGGTATGCCGGCGAGGGCAAGAAACAAGTATAGGGAATATTCCTTCTCCTGCTGCTGCTGCTGCCGCCTCCTCCTCCTCCTTGGGCGGGGAAGGCGTCTTCTACTCAGGGATCAATCAGCTCTATCGGTCGGTGCATGCTCTCGATAGTCGGGAGGATGGGATGGGTCAGCGGAAGTCCATCCGGTGTTTGGCCTCCGACATCCGACCCCTCACTCGAATACAAGCCTCGGTCAGGATCGCAGAATCGTCCTCTTCTTCTTCCTCACCATCGGAGCTTCTTGATGTCTCCCTTGACTCTGAAGTTGGGATATCCTACGAGGCGCTGCGTGACAGGCTGGCCGCGGGGGAGTGGGAGGAGGCGGACAATGAAACCCGCCGATTGCTTTGCGTTCTCGCTGGGGACGGAGCTGTCAAACGCAAATGGGTTTACTTCAGCGAAGTAAAGTTCTTTCCAGTCAAAGATCTGCAAACTATCGACAACCTGTGGACGGCCTATAGTGGTGGGAGGTATGGTTTCAGCGTGCAAAGAAGGATCTGGAAGGCGGTGAATCAACGGTGGAAACCTTTCTTCAGGAAGATATCCTGGACGGTGGGACAGAATCACTCCTTCAGGAAGTTCCCGCAGGACTTCCTTTGGAACAATGACGCCGAGTCTACCCCAAATGGCCACCTCCCCCTCACCAACGCCTTGCGAGGGACGCAATTGCTGGAGGCTTTGCTCAGCCATCCTGCTTTTGAGAAAGCGGACGAGAGCTCCCGCCTCATGGACGAATCTCAACTTGTGGAACAGGTTTTTGCTGACAACGGAGGCATTCCCAGCACTGATGCCGCACTGCTGTCCTCAACGACACCACCCAGCTCGGAGAAGACTCTCAAAGACCTAAATCTGCCGCCAGAGCTTCGGAATGTAGATTACTCCTTCTGATCCCATGAGACAAGCGGGGTGTGTTTCATAAACGTGTGAAACAGGCATCATTCATTCAATTGTCCTGCTCGTCCAACTTTATGAAACCGGGTACATCTCATCCCATCCCTCTGGACTGCATTAAGTGGATCACCTGGTCTCTATGGTGTTTCTGCCAATTAGAGCAGGCAGGCCCATCCATGCATTTGTTTGTTGTCTCAGAGAATCCGGAGTGAGAGTTCAAAGAAACTTCCCAACTGTGAAGTCTTTGTGCTGCATGTCTGTGCAATCGTGTTATGACTCTAATTTGCACGCACACACACACACACACACACACACACACACACACACACACACACACACACACACACACACACACACACACACAC